TGATGAAGCCAAGTAAGAACACATTTCCCCACAGCTTATTAAATATAAATGGACAAGAATGTGCAGCTAATAGTTCATAACTATCCAAGTCAAAACAATGTAATTCAATGTACAATCAATTATCAAATTATTAGGACACCAGTTTTGGATGATTAATGAAAAGGGTGACAGATGGCATAGAAATGATCAACAGCATTGGAGCAAAGATGGAGAATTAAAACCAGGATGAAGAAGTTTGATGGGGAATGCGGCTGTCTGAAAGACCAGATTGAAATAATTATTGCAAAATTCCCAAAAAACTGTGACAGCAATGCCTCTATTTGTGGACATATATGCTGCTTCTCAGATATCAATTGACTTGAGGTTTTCTAGGACTGCTTCCATTTCCAGATTCTGAGCAATCCACGGCATATTTTGAGGAGTTAAGGGAAAACATTGTTAATCTAAAATAAAGAATATTCTATATTCCTTGTGGAAATTTGTATGAACCTTTTACAATTCCCAATATACCACAAGCTCCCCAGGAAGTATTCTATCAGCTTAGCAGAAATTTTATTCTTCTGAAGCACACTAGAAGAAGATTCTCTTGCAGGGAAGTAATGTCTACTTATTTCAAAAGTTTTGTTTTTGTTTGTTTGTTTTTAAGGCTTTAGAAGTCTTTGTAGGGTGGCTGGTATCTTCATGGTGTTTACATGAGCTTTACATAACTTGCTATATAGATAATTGTGGTTAATTGACAAGGTGCTAGGGTTATGCAATTGGGTGCATGACCAGATACCTGCAGCAAAATTTAAATGAATGCCAATAGGATTCTGGCCATTATTCCAAAATGTATTTATATTTGTAGAGGAATTGCAGAGGAGTGTGGGAGGCTGTGATCCAGGTGAGAAACTGCTGGGGTACAATCTACTGGCACATTGTGCTGAAGAACAGCGTAATTATCCCAGTTGAGTTCCAGTTTGTATACAAGAGGTTTGCATAGAAAAAGATTGCACTGGATTCTGCCTTCAACAGTGATTTAATGGTGCTCTTTTATTTTATAACAAACTTGTGTAGAAGGCCCCAATTGATGGTAAAGGTGCTCTACATGAGACCTTCCAGAGATCAGTAGAAATGATGACAGAGTTGGTTAAGGTAGTGCATTCAGCATCTTCATGTATTTAGGCCACACTTTTAAGTGCCTGACTAGGGCTTATGTTATGTCTTTAGAATGTCATGTGACTCAACCTGACTCCTGTTCTTCACTGCAGTCCAATCCTGTAGACACCAAGTTGCTCACAGATAAATTCCATTGAGTTCATGGTGTCCATCCCAAGGTAAGTGAACCATAGCATTATTTTTCAATTTCTGCCTGTTTTTGCTCAGTAAATAAGTTTGAGAAGCACCAGAACATGTTTCCTGCCAGTAAATTTTGCAGCAGGAGTCTGACTTGCTTCCTGGTTGGCTTGAAGCATAATTTCAAAACCAGAAACTATGAGGCAAAACTGCTATCATTTCATCCAATTTTGCCTTATTCTTTACTGATGTAACCACTGATGGGATTGATTCTTAAATGCATTAATGTAATTGGCTTAGTCCTCTTGAGTAAGCTACTTAAACTTATTTTGGTATAAGGCCATAAGGCTGTCTCAAAACTAATTTTGTCCCATTTGACAAGTATGAATAACTTAATGTTATCATAAGAGCAGAAAAGGAGAAATGGACCAGATGAGGAAGTAAGAGGGCCTGTATTAAAATCAATAATGAAAACATACTCATTTTTAAAATTTAACATGTATTAGACATCAGAAAAACTGAGTTAACTCACTTTTCAGTGTATTTAAGAAAGACTCAAACGTTGTATTTCACATGCTTCTGATAAGGACACTAGCTCGTATCTGCATGAAAAGGAACTTAGTTATACATCTATTTCCTAATTATAAATTATAACAGTAGTGCATTGTTATTAAATGATAGCCAATGATGACTTTGACTTAGAAGAAAGTCCTTCCACTCATGAAAGCTAGGGCAACCAACTTCCCCTGGTTCTTTTTACCTGTCTCAGCCCTCCACAACTTACATATAACACTTCATATAACATTTTTTTTTCCATACGATTTTTCAACCCACAGAAATAGCTTTTACAGAGTGATGGAGACTGAGGCTAACTAGGCAGACGTGTGAAAATTAATAGTGGCTCGTGGGAATGGAAGCATTGTCCATTTAGGCAAAGCGACAGCTGGATATCATCCACAGTAGACAGTTTGTGAGAAAATGAACAAGTTGCTTATAAAATAAAGGTTCAAGAAGCTGTTTATTTCAGCAAAAGATTAAGATGACATGCCCACTCAATATGTATTCTGAAATCTACAGGAAGTAAAATAGCATGTGAAATAAATGAATGAGAAGGGGAAGCTGGTGACTAATAATATCTTGGGACTAGTGAGCCAAAAATGAATAAAAGCAGATCTGAACATTAGAAAGGCAGATGGAGGAGAAGGTGGGCACACAGCATGAGCCACCATTAATCTTTGTGTCTGCTTGTGTGAGAGGATACGTGTTTGTTTCTGCGCTGGGGAAGAGGACACCTAATCCTCACAGGGCTGATATCTCCAGCAGACACTCTGGTTGTGACGGACAGTCCTTAGCCGTTTCTGCGCTGGGGAAGAGGACACCTAATTCTCACAGGGCTGGTATCTCCAGCAGACACTCTGGTTGTGATGGACAGTCCTTAGCCTAGCTGCTGAAGCTGTGTCCATCCT